GGCGCGGCGTTGGAGGCGAAGGCCGCTGAGCATTGGGCATGGCGCCGAAGGCGGAGGGGGGAAGGACATGAGAGGGCGCGCGCTGAGTAGCGGGCGCGGCGTTGGAGACGAAGGCCGTGGAATAGTGGGCCCGGCGTTGGAAGCGGAGGGGGTCGATTGACTAGACGGACACGGTCAAGTTCATCGCGGGGGCGGGGGGCGTGTTGAGTAGCCGGCGCGGCGGTGGAAACGAAGGCGGCCGGGCGTTCTGTGCGGCGTTGGAAACGAAGAGAGTTGCGTGAAATGGCAAGTCCACGTTCACCTTTGGGGGGCCCCGTTGAGCACTGGGCGCGGCTTTGAACTGGAGAACGGTTCGAAGCGCGAGCTTCAAATGTGAATCCGGCAATCGCATGAATCATATGTACATATACATAAGCATACATCCGCAGCCCTTTCGGCCCATGACAGTTCGGCCCCGCTGCGCGGCATCGCGGGCTTCAAATATCTCATGCCCTTTTCGCGTTGCCCCCCGTTGGTGGCCCAGCCGCTGGCCGAGTCGACGAGCGCGCCAGCTTCGCCGCGCCCCCGCTCGCCATGCAGCGCGGGGATTGATCGCAGCAGGGCGCGGCCAGACGCGGATGCATCGCCCCGCGCAACGGAGCCGGACTGCCCGAGCGGCGGTAGTGACTTAGTGGGAATGCCAGCGGCTCCATCGTCTCGGTCGCAAATATTCGGTGATCCAAGGCGGACTCTCGAAGACTATTCGTCGCGCCGGCTTCGAACAAAGCGCGAAAATTTGATCTCGACTGCAAGGGGGTCGAGTGGAAAATCCACATTGCCGATGGCCGCGGGCGCGGCTGCCGGGGAAGGCCCCGACATCAAAGGAGGATCGGCCAGAGGAAGGATCGGCCAGAGGAGGCGCCAGCTCGCAGGTCAACGACGATGACAAGGCGCGTCTCAGTTGGAAGCCCCCAAGCTGGCACGTTCATTTGTTCTTTCTTTTCGCGCAGTGCTTCCCGCGACGCTGCGATTGCAAGGCGCGGCGGGAAGTCGCTGGATAGGTTTCAAGGTGCGCGTGGCGCGGCTTATGGCTTAGTGGCGATTGCCTCTCATCTCCAGGGCGCTTTCCTCGCGCCTCCTTCGACCGGGGATGTCAAGTAGAATCGCGGCCGGAGTCCAGCCCCGCGCCCATGGATTGCAAGATTGAGTCAGCGGCTTTTTCCGGGAAGCCCCCAAACCCAGAAGTTCCCCCCGCGCGTCTTGTCTAAGGCGACGGCCTCAACCCAATCAGCGCTCGCGGCGTGCTCGCGGCGCATATCTGTCAGAAGCAGGTGCGACCAACGTCTGACATCGATATCCGGAGTTATCCAATCCAGGGGGTCCACGCGATGACCTGGGCGAGCAAGTGCCAAACTGGCGCTCTGGTGCCTCGAGCAAGCCGAACCGATTATCGCGAGTTTGTCTTGATAGGATTGGGGCCCGCAGCGGTTGCGCATGCCCCAGAGAGGAGGAAAATCTGCATCCGCACATTTGCGCACTGAGGACATGCCACTTCTGGGCATTGGGGATGATCGCCCGGATGAGATCGCAAAGGGCTGCGTCGCCAGGACGTCCGAGACGGGCGCTGTCAGGCGCGGTGCAGAATGCTCAAAGTGGTACTTCTCACAACCACTGGATGATCACTTCGTAGTGATTTGTGCAGATGTGCCACCAGGTTGGCCGCCGCAATGGAGATGCATGACCGAAGGCGGACTTCGGGCGTTGGTGCGAGACATGGCCGCGGAGGATTCTGCTGCATATATCAACCCCACTATGCCCGTGCGTTACCCCGAGTGGAGGGCCTTCCACAGCAGAGCAGCGACAGAGGGACGCGCAGAGACTACCACCCCCCCCCCCCCCCCCCCCCCCAGCGCGCGCAACGTCTCTGCGGTGAGTTCCCATTCGGCTTTCAGGCGGAGCCAGGCAACATGCCTTCATTGGAATACATGGACCTGACCTTTGACATCCGAGCGCAAGAGCAGTTCGCCCCTGCCGAGGAGGAGGAATATGTCAGGTCTGCTAGTGATGCGAATCAGGCGGGTGGCGCGAGATGCCTTCGAAACTTGCGAGGGGTATCTAGGCAAGGCTGTATTGGGAAACGGTTTTATGATTCAAATCCACACGTGCAGATGATGCGTGGATTTGGGCCTCCCCGCATTGCGTGGCATTTGCGCGGGTAATCGCATATGCCACGGCGTGGCGCTTGAAGAGCATGCCCAGGTGGCAACTCAAAGATGCAGCAGGTTGGTTTGAGAGTTGTGATTGAATGCACATACATATGTATACATATACGTCCATGCATAAACAGCATTAAAGGGGTCATGCTGCGTGCTGGAGGCTACGTAAGCATATGGAGATACGCATGTCGATTTCCCAAACCGTGCTTGCACTTAGGGTTTTGTAGCGTTTTCCCCGGATGTGGGCCCACGGGCCGCTCTGGCCGCCATATGGTGGCAGTCGCCGCCTCGTCGCCGCCCGCGGCCGCCCGTCGTTTGGGCCTGCGGGCAATTTTGGCCACCATTTGGCCGCCGTCGCCGCCTCGTCGCGTTCCGTCGCCATGGCTCGCGGGCCTCTCTGGCCGCCACGTGGCCGCCGTCGCCGCCGCGTCGCCGCCCGCCGCCTCGCCGCCGCCCGCGCTGCATTGCTTCGCACGGTCTCGCATTGTTCTACATGGTTTCCATTGATTCGCATTGATTTGCATTGTTGTTGCATGGCTTTGCACTGCTTTGCCTTGCACTGCTTTGTTTTGTTTTGCGCTGACTCCCAGTGGCTTGAATTGCTTGGCATTGCGTACCATTGCTGGGCAGTGCTTTGCATAGCACATCACCGCGTACCCTACACCACATAGTTCACACTACATATGTTGCACTGCGTAAACTGCACAACGATAGCTCGCACCACACAAGTTGCACTGCGCATGTTGTAACGCTTAAGCCGAGCCACATAGCTTACGCCCCACTCATCGCACCAGATGGATTCTCCTTTCTAAAAGACTAATCGATTCTACCCCCCCCCCCCCCCGGACTTATCGGGTCCCCCGCGCGTGCTGTAAATCACATATGATTCTGACCACATGTCCATCCTATATATGAATTCGTACCATCCCAGCCAAGCCGGGTTCCCCCCCCCCTGCGGTTCCCTGTCAAATAACACTATGCGGGGACATTTTCCTTTCTAACATAGCACTTTGTCACGAATCCCTTTCAAAAAATGGGACGAAGTGCACACGCGCGCGTCGTCGCGCGCGCATGCCGAAATCCTTCAAAAACCTTCGGTGCCGGAAGGATTTCGTAATCGAGTTTCCGAAAAAACATACAAAAACACATGGTTTCGCAACATTGATTTGCTAAAAAAACTTCCGCGCGAACTCTTGCGAAATCTTACGAAAACCATAGGTTTTTCAAGATATTCACAAAATGCTACCAAACGGGCTTCGCGCGCGCGCATGTCGAAATCTGTCGAACGCCCTTGCGCGTGTGCCGTCGCGAGAATCCCCTGCAAAGAATAGGACGAAGTGCAGACGCGCGCGTCGTCGCGGACGTATGCCGAAAACCTTCAAAACCCATCGGTTTCGGAAGGATTTCAAAATCGTGCGTCCAAAAAACCTACAAGCACCCCAGGTTTCGCAACACGGATTTTCAACAAAAGCGTGCGCGCGCGCGCTCTTGCGTCGTCGTCGTCGTCGTCGCCGTCCTCCCTCCTCCCGCGTCGTCGTCGTCGTCGCCTACGTCGTCCTCTGTCTTTTCTCCTGTTTGTCGTCGTCGTCCTCTTTGGCGTCGTGGTCGTTTCCATCGTCGTTGTCGCCGTGGTCGTCCTTCCTCCTCCTCCCACGTCGTCGTCGTCGTCCGTCGTCGGCGTCTCATCGTCGTCCCTCCTATGTCGTCGCCGTCGTCGTCGTCGTTGTCGTCGTCGTCTTCCCTCCTCCCTCGTCGTTGTCGTCGTCGGCGTCGCCGTCCTTCCTCCTTCGTCGTCGTTCGCGTCGTCACCGTCCTCCGTCCAACTTCGTCGTTGTCGTCGTTGTCGCCGTCGTCGTCCTTCCTCCTTCCTCGTCGTCGCCTTCGTTGGCGTCGTCGTCGTCGTCTTCGTCGTCGTCGGCGTCGGCGTCGTTGTCGTCGTCGTCGTCGGAGACGTCGTCGGTGTCGTCCTAGTCGTTGTCGTCGGTGTCGTCGTAGTCGGTCTTAACAGGTTTTGCAAACCAAGTTGCGGGTGGGTGGGTGGGATGTTTGCGCGAGCAGTGGAGATGACGACTTCAAGTTCCGCAGAGTGGATTGCACCACGCAGACTGCACCACGTAGTTCGCACCTCATAGATGCACCACATAGATGGCACCGCGTAGCTTACAAAAAAATCGCATCACATATATGAGCACGTTGGCTCCTACAACATAGCTTGCGCCAAGTACCTTGCACCTCATGTATGGGGCCACAATACATGCACCACATCGGTCACACAGCTTACGCCACATAGCTACCATCAAGTAAGTTTTACCGTGTAGTTCCCCCATTAGCTTGCACCACATAGTTTGCACCACATGTTGCATCACCTCATATGATGCCTACGCACTTGCGGACACACGCGTATTTCTTTATCTCTCTCTCTCTCTCTCTCTCTCCCTTTCTTTTTCATATAAATATATATATATATATATATATACATTCATACATGTCTATATACACATATATACATGTATATGTACGTGTGTGTATATACATGTCATTCCTTCTCCTCCTCACAATCCGTTTCCCGTTCCGTTCCTGTACCTCACGCCCCTGACCATGTCGTAGGATGACTTGCAATTCGTAGCCCCTCCATCCCTTTCCTTCCCCTCTTCCGTGCTGCCTCCCCTCCTCCCTTCACTCCCTCCTCCCTCCCCCCCTCTGTGGTGCTGCCTCCTCCTCTTCCTGCTCCTCCTCTTCCTCCTCCTGCTCCTCCAGCCTCCTCCAGCCTCTTCCTCATCATAGTCCATCGCTTTCCCCCTACAGGTGGTGGTGAGGAGCGGCGTCACTTTCGCCATGGCCAAGGGCATCCTCCACACGTACTTCTACGCGTGCCCGCCGGTCTGCCGCACCTACCTCCTCACGCACCCCGACGAGCCAGAGGAGGCCGCCTGCTACTACGACCCCGCCAGGCCGCGCGCAGCCGCTGCCGAGGCGGAGAGCGCCAGGGCACCGGAGGCCGCGGGGTGGCCTCGATTTTCGAGGAACTGCACGTGCCTGAGCTTCCCTGGATGCCCTCAGCCCGTCAGTTTTCCCGCGCAGCCCCGTCGCTGCTTGGTGAGTGGGCCGGCCGGCCTGCGGCGCGTCCTGTAGCTAATTAGGCCGTTACCGTGTCCTGGAACGCTTCTGACTCCGCCTGCCTCTTCGCTTGCGGCCGCGACCGAAAAAGTATCTCCACCAGCCCATCCAGAAACGATGCCCACGAGAGTTGGGGTGGCCAGTGGGTTGTAGGGGCAAGAGAGGGGACAGCAGTTGTTTGTCGAACGCGGAGGAGGGCGGAGGAGCCAATGGAGGAGGTCGAGAAGGAGGTGGAGGAGGAGGAGATAGAAGGAGAAGGAGTAGGCAAACGAGAAGCAGGAGGAGGCCGAGGGGGGGGGCATCGAGGATGGAGGAATCACAGCTCATTGGCGTCTTTGGCCAATTGGGGCACGCAAGAGGACCTCGGGGATCTCCGTCATCATCGTCGGCGTCGTCGTCGTCTGTCGTCCGTCGTCGTCGCCGTCGTCGTCGTCTTCGTCTGTTGTCCGTCGCCGTCGTCCGTCGTCTGGCATCGTCGTCTGCCGTCCTCGTTCTCGTCCGTCGTCCGTGGTCCGTCGGCAGTCGTCGTCGTCCTCGTCGTCTGTCGTCGTCTGTCGTCAGCGTCGTCGACTGTCGTCGTCTATCGTCGTCGTCTGTCGCGTCTGTCGCCGTCTGTCGTCGTCTGCCGTCGTCGTCGTCTGTCGTCGTCTTTCGACGTCTGTCCTCGTCGTCGTCGTCATCGTCTGTCGTCGTCGCCTGTCGTCGTCGTCGTCGTCGTCGTCTGTCGTCTTCGGTCGTCGTCTGTCGTCGTCGTCGTCGGCGTCGTCGCCTGTCGTCGTCTGTCGTCGTCTGTCGTCGTCGTTGTCGTCTGTCGTCTTTCGTCGTCGCCGTCGTCTTCGTCCGTTGTTCGTTGTCCGTCGACTGTCGTCCGTCGTCCCGCGTCGTCGTCTGTCGTTGTCTTCGTCCATTGTCTGTCGTCCGTCGTCTGTCGTCGGCGTCGTCGTCTGTCGTCATCTGTCATCGGTGTCGTCGTCGTTGTCGTCGTCGTCTGTCGTCGTCTGTCGTCGTCTGTCGTCGTCTGTCGTCGTCTGTCGTCGTCGTCGTCGTCGTCGTCTGTCGTCGTCTGTCGTCGTCGCTGTCGTCGTCGTCTGTCGTCGTCGTCTGTCGTCGTCTATCCTCGTCTGGCGTCGTCGTCGTCTGTCGTCGTCTGTCGTCGTCGTCCCTCGTCGTCGAAGTCGTCGTCGTCTTCAACCTGGTCGTCGTCCATCGTCCGTCGTCACGCGTCGTCGTCTGTCGTCGTCTTCGTCCGTCGTCCGTCGTGGGTCGTCGGCGTCGTCGTTTATCGTCGTCTGTCGTCGTCGTCTATCGTCGTCGTCTGTCGCATCTGTCGTCGTCGGTCATCGTCTGTCGTCGTCGACGTCGTCGTCGTCATCTATGGTCGTCTGTCGTCGTCTGTCGTCGTTGGCGTCGTCGTCTGTCGTCGTCTGTCGTCGTCCGTCGTCGTCCGTCGGCCTCGTCCGTCGTCGTCGTCGTCCGTCGTCCGTCGTCCAGCGTCGTCGTCTGTCGTCGTCGGTCGTCGTCTGTCGGTGTCATCGACGTCGTCGTTGTCGTCGTCGTTGTCGTCGTCGTCTGTCGTCGTCGTCTGTCGTCGTCTGTCGTCGTCTGTCGTCGTCGTCGTCTGTCGTCGTCTGTCGTTGTGTGTCGTCCGTCGTTGTCGTCGTCGTCGTCGTCCGTAGTCGTCTGTCGTCTATCGTCGTCTGTCGTCGTCGTCGTCGTATTCGTCCGTCATCTGTCGTCTCTCGTCGTCGCCGTCGTCGTCGTCTTCAACCTGTTCGTCGTCCATCGTCCGTCGTCCCGCGTCGTCGTGTTCGTCGTCTTCGTCCGTCGTCCGTCGTCCGTCGTCCGTCGTCGGTCGTCGGCGTCGTCGTTTGTCGTCGTCTGTCGTCGTCGTCTATCGTCGTCTTCTGTCGCGACTGTCGTCGTCGGTCGTCGTCTGTCGTCGCCGTCGTCGTCGTCGTCGTCATCTATCGTCGTCTGTCGTCGTCTGTCGTCGTCGTCTGTTGTCGTCTGTCGTCGTCGTCTGTCGTCGTCTGTCGTCGTCTGTCGTCGTCTGTCGTCGTCGGTCGTGGTCTGTCGTCGTCGTCTGTTGTCGTCTGTCGTCGTCTGTTGTCGTCATCGACGTCTTCGTCTATCGTCGTCGTCGTCGTCGTCGTCGACTGTCCTCCGTTGTCCGTCGTCCGTCGCCCGTTGTCCGGCGTCGTCGTCGCCGTCGTCGTCGTCTTCGTCCGTCGTCCGTCGTTCGTCGTCCGTCGTCTGTCTTCGTCGTCGTCGTTTGTCGTCGTCTGTCGTCGTCGTCGCCGTCGGCGTTTTCGTCGTCTGTCGTCGTCTGTCATCGTCGTTCTCGTCGTCGTCGTCGAAGTCTGTCGTCGTCGTCGTCGTCTTCAACCTGATCGTCGTCCATCGTCCGTCGTCACGCGTCGTCGTCTGTCGTCGCCTTCTGTCGTCGTCTGTCGTCGTCTGCCGTTGTCGAAGTTGGTCGTCGTCGTCTGTCCTTGTCGTCTGTCGTCGTCCCTAGTCGTCTGTCGTCGTCTTCGTCGTCGTCTGTCGTCCTTTGGCGTCGTCGTCGTCGCCGTCGTTGTTTTCGTCCGTCGTCCGTCGCCGTCGTCCATCGTGTCCGGCGTCGTCGTCGTCGTCTGTCGTCGTCCGTCGTTCGTCGTCTGTCTTCGGCGTCGTCGTCTGTCGTCGTCTGTCGTTGGCGTCTTCGTCGTCTGTCGTTGTCGTCTGTCGTCTGTCGTTGTCGTCGTCTTGTCGTCTGTCGTCGTCTGTCGTCGTCTGTCGTCGTCCTCCTCGTCGTCGTCGTCGACGTCGTCTGTCGTCGTCGTCTCTCGTTGTCGTCTGTCGTCGTCTGTCGTCCGTCTGTCGTCGTCATCTGCCGTCTTCCTCAGTTGTCCGCCGTCCGTCGTCCGTCGTTCGGCGTCGTCGTCGTCGTCGTCCGTCGTCGTCAGTCGTCGTCTGTCGTCGTCTGTCGTCGTCGTCGTCGTCTGTCGTCATCTGTGGTCGTCTGTCGTCGTCTGTCGTCGTCTGTTGTCGTCGTCGTCGTCGCCGCCCTCGTCGTCGTCGTCGTCGTCTGTCGTCCGTCGTCGTCGCAGTCGTCGTTTTCGTCCGTTGTCCGTCGTCCGTCGTCCGTCGTCTGTCATCCGTCATCGTTGCCGTCGTCGTCGTCTCCGTCCGTCGTCCGTCGTCTGTCTTCGTCTGTCGTTGTCGTCCTCGTCGTCTGTCGTCGTCTGTGTGTCGTCCGTCTCCGTCGTCGTCGTCTGTCGTCGTCTGTCGTCTTCTGTCGTCGTCTGTCGTCGTGGTCTGTAGTCGTCAGTCGTCGTCGTCTGCCGTCGTCTGTCGTCGTCTGTCGTCGTTCGCCGTCTGTCGTCGTCTGTCGTCGTCGGTCGTCGTCTGTCGTCGTCATCGTCGTCGTCGTCGTCTGTCGTCGTCTGTCGTTGTCGTCGTCTGTCGTCGTTTGTCGTCGTCTGTCGTCTGTCGTCGTCGTCTGTCGTCGTCTGTCGTCGTCTGTCGTCGTCGTCTTTAGTCTTTTGTCTTTCGTCGTCGTCTGTCGTCGTCTGTCGCCGTCTTTCGTCGTCTGTCGTCGTCGTCGTCGCCTGTCGTCTGTCGTCGTCTGTCGTCGTCTGTCGTCGTCATCGGTCGTCGTCTGTTGTCGTCTGTCGTCGTCGCCGTCGGTCGTCGTCTGTCGTCCTCGTCGCCGTCGTCGTCTGTCGTCGTCTTCGTCGTCTGTCGTCGTGTGTCGTCGTCCTCGTCGCGAGGCCGGGCCAGGTGCCCCAGAGAGCCCCCTCGGGGGGCCCGTCGAGCGGGGCGCACCCGGGGTCTTCGTGGCCACGTCCCTGCTGGAGCCTGGCCTGGAGGTGGTCCAGCCAGCCGAGCAGGCGACGGCGGGCGTCGGGCCGGACCCGACCGGCGAGCGGGAGCCGCGTTTGGAGGATCGCCAGCGGTCGTCGTCGGTCGCCGGCGGTCGTGGTCGTCGTCGTCGTCGTCGTCGTCGTCGTCGTCGTCGTCATCGTGTTCGTCCCTGTCGTCGTGTTTGTCGATGTCGTCGTCGTCGTCGTCGTGGTCGTCTGTCGTCGTCGTGGTCGTCGTCGTCGTCGTCGCCGTCTGCGAGTCTCCGTTCTCGGGCTCCGCCTGGCCTTGCCCGAGCCCCAGGGCTGCCAGCCCGGGGGCGCAGGCACCACAGTCGGGGACCTGTTTGCCCCACGCCAAATCCGGAGGACCGAATTCAATAGGAGCAACGAAGGGGGGGGGATAGGCATCGGGGGGGGATGCCTCGACACCCGATCGCCCGTTGATCGCCGATAGGGGCCCGATAGCCCCAAGCTGCCCAGGAAGGTGCGGATTCCCTATCTGGGGCCTACCGCCGATCTATCGGCGATGTATCGCCGATTCCAGGTCGATGCATCCCCCCTTCTGCCAGTCCCCCCTTATCCTTGCCCCCCAACAATCACAGGGCCAGACACATTGTGAAGTTCTTGCGGGTTCCATGGGTCGGAACCCCTCACCGCCGCCCCTGGCTGGCGCCTCGCTCTGGCGGCGCGCTGGGCGCGTTCCGAACGTCAGTAGTAGGGGGTGCGGGGAAGGGGGCCCAGCGAACCCAACAAATCCGCGCGGACCTCTGAGAGCTTATGTTCGGCGGCGCGCCCGAGGGGGAAGCGAGGTGGGGCGGGCCTTCTGAGAAGGCTCGGATGTTCTCCGGCCTTCCAAGAAGTCTTCCAAGCCTTCTCCGAGGGCGCAGAAAACTTCTCAGAAGGCGCGAGGGCTTCCGAGAAGTCCCGCTGCCTTCTGAGAAGGCCTTCTCCTTCTCACTTCCCCCCTCGCTCGCCGCTGAAATTCCGACACGCGTTTCCGATTTCGACCTCGCACGATCCGGCGCCAGGCGAGCAAGGACGAGGAGGAGGAGGGGGAGGAGGAGGAGGAGGAGGAGGAGGAGGAGGAGGAGGAGGAGGAGGAGGAGGAGGAGGAGGAGGGAGGAGGAGGAGGAGGAGGAGGAGGAGGAGGAGGAGGAGGAGGAGGAGGAGGAGGAGGTCGTCGAGGGCTCCACATCAAAATGGCACAGCTACTTCATGACGTCGGAGGAGAGGGGGAGGTTCAGGCACAGCACATCGTAGAAGGAGAGCATGCGCGCCGTCGGTGAGACAGTCTGCCCCGCCAGATCTGGCGAGGAGGAGGAGGAGGAGGAGGAGGAGGAGGAGGAGGAGGAGGAGGAGGGGAGGACGAGGAAGAGGAGGAGGAGGAGGAGAGGAGGAGGGGGAGGAGGGGAGAGGAGGAGGAGGAGGAGGAGGGAGGAGAGGAGGAGGAGGAGGAGGAGGAAGGAGGAGGAGGAGGAGGAGGAGGCCGGAGGAGGAGGAGGAGGAGGAGGAGGAGGAGGAGGAGGAGGAGGAGGAGGAGGGGGAGGAGGAGGAGGAGGAGAGAGGAGGAGAGGAGGAGGAGAGGAGGAGGGAGAGAGGAGGAGGAGGAGGAGGAGGAGGAGGAGGAGGGAGGAGGAGGAGGAGGAGGAGGAGGAGGAGGAGAAGAAGGAGGAGGAGGAGAGAGGAGGAGAGGAGGAGGAGAGAGGAGCAGGAGGAGGAGGAGGAGGAGGAGGAGGAGGGAGGAGGAGAGGAGAGGAGGAGGAGGAGGAGGAGGAGGAGGAGGAGGAGGAGGAGGAGGAGCAGGAGGGGAGGAGGAGGAGGAGGAGGAGGAGCAGGAGGGAGGAGGACTTCCCCCCCTCGCTTGCCGCCGAGTTTTTTGCCGCACGTGTGTCCGAGGAGCCCGCCGCCCCCTACACCACCGGGCGGGGCGCCGACTCTCCGCCGCGGGCCGCGGCCGTGGAGGAGGACCCCTGGGACTGGCTGCTGGGCCTCTGGGACCGACCCGCGGGCGAGCAGGAGCCCCGGAGGAGGAGGAGGAGGAGGAGGAGGAAGGAGGAGGAGGAGGCGGAGGCGGAGGAGGAGGAGGAGGAGAGAAGCCTATGCCCAGAGGTCCGAGGATACGATTTTTTGGTTTCCAGTATCCAGGGGGTTCTCCTGGATGCGGGCCTCCGGGGCCCACTTTTCGGGCCTCCGGGGGCCATCGGGGCGAGGATCCGGGGCGAGGGGCTCGTCCTGGAGTCGGGCCTCCGGGGCCCACTTTTCGGGCCCGGGGGCCATCGGAAGTGGATCCGGGGCGAGAATCGGGCCTCTGGGGCCCTCTTTTCGGGCCCCGGGGGGCATCAGGAGTGGATCCGGGGCGACAGGCCACCCCCAGGGAAGAGGTCATATATCGGCGGATGTCTCTGGGTGCAGATGCCGATGCCTCCGCCTGCGCCGGAGCGACGGGTCGAGCCCAGACGTGGTCGTGTGGTGAAGAAGGAAGTCAGGACGGGGGGTGGAGGAGGAGGAGGAGGAGGAGGAGGAGGAGGAGGAGGAGGAGGAGGAGGAACATGAACAGGAGGAGGATGAGGAGGAGGCGGAGCAGGAGGAGCAGGAGGAGCAGGAGGAACAGGAGGAGGAGCAGGGGGGTGTTGGCCGTTTTTGGGCCTCCGGGAGGGGCCCTCGCCAGGCCCTGGGCCCGTCGAGGTGCGAGGCAGGTGCCCCTCGTCCCTGGGATCGTGGAGTCTCGATGTTTTCGAGCTGGGCGTTGTCGACGTTTCTCGGGCCCCGGGGCCCTCGCAGATCGATCCGGCGCGAAAAGCAATGCAGCAGGAAGGGGTCTAAGTAACTAGAGCCCGGAGGAGGGAGAAACACATAATAGACGGATGCCGATGCTGGGCCCCGCCCGGAACTCCCACGTCTCGAGAAGGAGGCGTGGGAGAAGAAGGAGGAGGAGGAGGAGGAGGAGGAGGAGGAACAGGAGGAGGAGGAGGAGGAGGAGGAGGAGGAGAGGAGGAGGAGGAAAGAAGAGGTGGCTGGAGGAGGAGGAGGAGGAGGAGGAGGAGGAGGAGGAGGAGGACCAGGAGGAGGAGCAGGAGCACAGTTCTCGGCCTCTGGGGGGCCTCGCCGGGCCCCGGGGCCGTCAGCAAGACGACACGTGGTGAAGGGCCGGCGCCTGGGGGGGGTCCAGGCCTGCGGGGAAGCCGTCTTAAGAAACTCATCGCTCGGACGTGTGCCTTTTTTTTCTCGGCGAGGAGCATCGAGGAGCATCTTGGATCATCGAGCCAGAACGCACGCACACGCACACGCACACGCACACGCACACGCACACGCACACGCACACGCACACGCACACGCACACGCACACGCACACGCGCACGCACGAGACCGAACGGTGCACTGGGAATGGACGTCCGAGCGCTGGCAAGCTGCCGGCGCCGTGCCCCTCGCTTTCGCTTCCTCGGGCCCTCGGGGGGGGTAGGGGGGGGGGAGGGCTGCCTTGTCGCGACGACCTGGAGGAGGAGGAGGAGGAGGAGGAGGAGAGGAGGAGGAGGAGCGGCAGGAGGAGGCGGAGGAGGAGGAGGAGGAGGAGGAGGAGCAGCAGAGCAGGCAGAGAGGAGGAGGAACAGGAGGAGGAGGAGAGGAGAGGAGAGCAGGAGGAGGAGGAGAGGAGCAGATGGAGCAGAGGAGGAGGAGGGAGGGAGGAGGAGGAGGAGGAACAGGAGGAGGAACAGGAGGAGGAACAGGAGGAGGAACAGGAGGAGGAACAGGAGGAGGAGGAGGAGGAGGAGGAGGAGGAGGAGGAGGAGGAGCCCTGGTGGGAGCGGCAGCAGAGGGCATCCGTGTCTGGCCCGCTCCCGCCTCTCAGGAGCGGGGCGAGGGCGAGCGGCGCCCGAGCGGCGCCTGACGGCCCCTTCGCTGGCCGGCCCCGCGCTGCCTCGGAGCGCCGCGGCGCCGCCAGGCGGCTCGGTGGAGCTCCGCCGGCCGTCCAGCCTTCAGGCGGGCCTGTCCCTCTACAGTCGGGCCGTCCAGCCTGAAGTCGGGCCGTCCAGCCTTTAAGTCGGGAGTCTTCCAACATAGTTTTAAAACATCGTCTGGGGACTTTTTTGTTTTGAGTATGTGTGGGTATCTTTTTTGGGGGGTATTCGTTGTTGTTTTTTTTGTCCGTCCAAAATCCCCTGTAGGGGGACAGGCCCGACGTAAATCCAGCCCTCCCCCCCCCGGCGGGAACGTTACCCAGACATGGTCGCGCTGTATTACGTCGGGCCTGTCCCCCTACAGGGGGGCTTCGGACGAAAAAGTAAAGATAGTCAAAACATACCCCCAAATGGTAAACAAAACATGAAAAATCGTCCCCTTATTATTTTTGGACTATTTTGGAATATTCCTCCTGTATAGGGACAGGCCCCCCCGCCAGGAACGTTACCCAGACTTGTACACTTAATTTGCATAGTAAGGATGGGCAACCTTCCCAAGGGTGCCCTTGCATCCGCGCTTCCTCGGTGCATCCTTGGCCACTCTCGTTGGCCGCGCCCCGCTCGAAATGCTTCGAAATGGGCTTCTAAGGGCCTTGCATCCTTATCGCGCATCCTTATTACACGGGTTGACTGTAAGAAAATCAGGACGGGAGGTTTCGAGCTATGTTCGGCCCCAGGGGGTCCTCGCCGGGCCTCGGGACCGTCAAAAGACGGCTCGGCACGAAAAACCGGTCCTGGGGACAGGGTCGGGACTTCCAGGGGCGCCGCTCTGAGAACGCCAGGGCGTCGCCTTTCTGGGCACGCGAGGGTGTCTGCCACCCGGGCCCCAGCCGGGCTCAGCTCTTTGTGGATGTCTGGCTCGGCCTGGGGGCCCACATCCGCGGGGACCTGGGCGCGGGCGTGGGTTCGTAGAGGCTGGGCGGTCGCACAGGTCCGCCCTCGGCTAGACATAAGAGTGACCTTTCGCCAGAGTGACCTTTGGTGCGGGCCCAAATGGGTCCCCCAATCGCCGAACGCGCTGCGACATAAGCGGCTTGCGCGCTTGGGTTTGGCTCCCCCGCGCCCTCCTAATGCCGCGCACCAAAGGTCACTCTTACCCAGGGTCACTCTTGCGTATAGCCGACTTCCGTCTCCGCGTCCACGCGCCGACCCGCCCGCTTGGACTCCACGCGGTGCCTCTCGGCGGGGCCGGGCAGCCCTGCGGGTGCGCCCCCCCCCCCCCCCCAAGAAAAGGCGCGGCGCGTGCCCCCACGGCCGCCCAACGCGCGCGTGCGCGCGCGGCGCCAGTTGCCCGCTGGGCAGCCGCTCTCCGTTGGCTCGTCTGGCCCCCCGTATCTCGGGGCGCCGCCCGCTCGTGCATGTTCGCAGGCCTAGAGGTTGACACCAACACCAACATCGGCGGTGTGCCTCCACCGAGGGAAGAAGATCCCGATCTCGGTGATGGTGGTAACATCCTGGCTTCCGAGGTGGCCGAAGTATTACCACCACCACCGAAATCTAGGATCCTTTTGCCCCTGTGGAGGCAATCCCCTGTGCTGGCGTTGGTGCCAATTTCCAGGCCTCCAACCTGTGCCCCCTGCCCACCCGACGGGGCGGGGTGGTGAAGAGCAGCTCCGGGCTCCTCGACCCGTGCGCCCCCACCCCGCTTGCCGCGGCCGCCAGGCCCGAAGACTCCTCGATGTTCCGTCGTACAGTCGGGGCGTTGACCTAAGGGACCCTAAATAAGGAACGAGGTCCCTTTTTCCCACAAGTTAAACTTCGATTCCCGATCGAAAACAGAAGGAAAACCTGAGGCAAGCTGTGAAACACTTAAGGAACACGGAGCCCCTCCCCAACGAAAAGGGTTCCTTCTTCAGGGCCCCGACTACGGTCGGACCGAGGTATAAGGTCGAGGTTGGTTCGGGGGGGTACCCTAGTGTTCTTCGTGTTTGTTGGATGTTCTCGCGCGTCCTGGTGAAGGGCACCCTCGAATGTTCTTCGGTTTGGGCTGGCAGAGGGTCTCATGCTCTTGAAGGCTGGTCTTCTGTCCTAGGTCCGACCGTAATTATCTCACCAAGCGTCCTCGACGAATGACGACAGAACTGCTGATAGACACGAATGACATACAATGCATCCATATTGAGCCGACGCCAAGAGCATATGTAAACAAACATACACACCCTATGCAATTACAAGCGCACGCCGTATGCATAATAAATCCGTATCATAAACGTCCTATGGCATCAACTTGCGTATAGAACATGCTTGAGACACGTATACTAGAAGCTCACAGACAAGCCATACTGTACATTGCATGCGTAACAGAAGTGCACGAAGCACGTACATCAGAGCATGCGCTAATCACACATCGAGGACGCCGGCGGCGCACCACCGGCTGCTCCCTGGTAATTCGGCGTGTATGCGCGCAGCGTTGAAATGCGTGACGCGCTGCGTGTTCCAAATAGCCTTGTCGGGGGACCTCTTGGGAGCCTCTGGGGTGCTTCTTTCGATGATCCTCAGGACGCGTGTCAGCCCCATGTGTGGTTGCCCCCTTCAGCCAACCAGCAGATCATCACATCGCCTGCGTCGTATCGAAGGGCCTCGATGGACAAACGTTCCGAGAATCATCGATTCTTGGGGGCCCGAGGGTCCGTCTCACAGGACCCCCCGTCAGCCCCAGGACCCTGCAGAAAGGAACCCTCTAGGGCCCCGAAAGGACCCCTCTCCGGCCCCAGAGGGGGCCTTCCGGGTCCGACAAGGGCGCCTTTCTCCCCCCCATTCATCGACCCCCCATTCGTTCGCGCCCAGTGGACTTTGCATCCACTGCTTTCGTGATCGTGTCGGTCCCCTCGATCGCGTGTCGACGGCCCTGGGTCGTATCGAAGGGCCTCGATGGACACGTTGGGGCTAACACACGTTCCGAGGCTCATCGACTCTTGGTGCCCGAGGGTCCGTCTCCTGGGCGCTCCTGCGGCCCTCATGGGGGGGCTCTCGGGTGCCTGTTGGGGTGTGGAGGCCGTCTTGAGAAGCGACAGAACTCTGCCGAAATCTTCCGAGTAGGGTCGGTTTCTGATGGGTTCCGAGCCCGTCCAACATACAGTGAGCGGCTGGAGTAAGGAACACTTACTTTTCAAAAGGGGCTCGGTCGTTCCTTAAGGCTTGCATGCGTTACGTATCCTTCCTTATGCTTTTTTATGGTTCATCGTTCCTTAGAAAACAGAGGCTTCGTTCCTTATGTATCGTTCCTTAGGTCAGGCCGATGACTGTAATCGGGGACACATCGGCTGCCCGGGTCAGGCCGCCACGGAGGCTATTTTTAGCATCGCCTCGACATCGCGTCTGGAGGCCTAAAGGCGGCACAGCATGGCACCAAGAGATGGTCTAAAAGGCGCCTTTGAGGTCCATTTGGGGTAAGATCGGTGTGTCCATAGTTGTCCCATGTTGTCGTTCGGGGAGCGCCCCCCTGCATCATGTCTGATCTTGATGTTGCTCCACGTTCCTCCCAGCAGTCTCCGAGATCACGTGCTTCCCAGATGTGCACGGCAAGAAAGGCTTCTCACACCTAAGAGCACTTGCGCGGAGAGTAGGGGGGGGGTACGTATCCAGCATGCCATCGGCACACGTGCAGCAAGCATCCTGTATCCTGTTGCTGGCTGCTTCGGAGGCCTGGTGTGAGTCAGGGGGAAAAGAAACACACAGACACAGTTAAGCCTCGACCCCCCAGAAAGTATGAGAAAATATGGGAAGTGGGGGGGAAGACAGAAACCCAGGACATATGGGGAATCTTTTCATTGGTGTGCACTTATTTGTGTCCTGGGGGCCCCTTCCGTGAGGCCCTCCAGCTCCGGAGTCCGCGGCCCGTGGCCCGCGGTCTCCCGTAGGGTCTCTCTCCCGTTTCCCCGCACGTCCGCCGCCTCGGCCACACTCGCGCGACCTCCCGTGTGGTCCCCGGCAGGGTAGGATCTTCCGTGTGGCCTCCTCCTCCTCCTCCTCCTCCTCTTCCTCCTCTTTCTCCTCCTCCTCCTCCTCCTCCTCCTCCTCCTCCTCCTTCCCCCCTCCAACTTATGGTAGTGGTGCTGGAAAATAAGCCCAGCGCTCGGCGGTTCGCGCTCCGTGTGGTATCGGGGGCGGAAGAGAGGGGGGTGATGACTAGGGGGGGGGGATACCATGGCGGGGGCCATGATATCTCCCCAGATCTCGTGGCGCCGCCCCTTCTTGTTTCATTGCGTCCCTGGCCCCCCCCCCCATGGGCCGCGCACATGCCGCCGGCCATGATTTGCACCCCCCCCTGTTGGACACCCCCCTCTTGGCCGCCCCCGAGTGGTATGGTTCGCCGAGCGCGTTCCACGACTCGCAAAGTGCCTCCTCGCAAACGTCCACAAAGCACATGTCTGCTTCGATGTATCTTATCGTAGAGCCCCCGCGGGGGATCCAGGCCGTTTGCGAGTAGAGTTACTCTGCGAGCAGTGGAACGCGCTCGTCTAATGGTGTCCCGCGTGGTCTACGGTGGGGGCCCATGCCAAGAAACACCCAGCTTGCCTCCAGGGTGCCCTGGGTTTCTTGGGCTTCGATGGTTTTGCTGTGGAAATCGGTGGCGAGCGAGGGGGGAAGTGAGAAGGAGAAGGCCCTTTCAGAAGGCGGTGGGTCTTCTCAGAAGCAGTCGCGCCTTCTGAGAAGTTTTTTGGCTTTCTGGGAAAGCTTAGACAACTTCTCAGAAGTCCGTGGGACTTCCGAGCCTTCTCAGAAGGCCCGCCCCTTCTCACTTCCCCCCCTCGCTCGCCGCTTAGGAAAGCGTGACGTTCACACACACCAAAAATCAATGGACGTCCTGGGGTCTCAGGGCTGGGTTTCTCGTGGAAGGTTTCTTGTGGACTAGCCTCCACCGTACCGTGTGGTCTGCCTCCTGTTCTCCCGCGTGGTCCCTTTTACGGTCTCCCGTATGACTCTCGCA